AGAGAGAGAGAGAGAGAGAAAGAGAGAGAGATTACAACATAGGGGTTACCTGCCATGGTTAACCCCATAAGCGTCAGTTGCTATAACTTCTAAACCAGGGGCAGAAACATATACACAGTTTTTTTTTGGCGAAGTAAACGTCCCAGTGTTTATCCAGAGGGAAAGCCCAACTTGACTTCAAAATAAATAACCAAATTAAGCTACTTACTTTATCAATTGCAGTCATGGAGATGGTATCATGGTTATGTGGGCGCACAGGAACAGATCCCAAAGACATAGTTCTTAATGGATCACCTACTCCACAGTTCGCTTCCCCTAAGTGTAATCCCTTAGGATCATCTCTCAAACCAGATGCTGCACTAATTGGACTATAAGGGCCACAAGCTTTGATAGGGAAGACATTCTTGCAGAAGTTGGGTTGACAAGAATTTTCCCTCCATTTCATCCATTTATCCATAGAGTCTGTTGAACTCAGGTTCATAGGTCCTAGAAGGCCCATGGCAATGGAAAATTCAGAGGCTTTCTCCCCCACAAGTAGAGTGTGTTCGGTGTGTTTGATAACTAATTGTGCAGCTTTGATGTCATCTTTGACATATCTCATTACTGCAACAGCACCGACCTCCATTGTCGTCTACCATTTTCCTTAAAGTAGAGAACACTTTAGATAGTAGACATCAATTAAAATGAAAGTAAAGAATGAGTTTTGGGATTTAGGGGTGTACCCCATCCATGACCATTGCATCGATTGTGGTTTCTCCGTTCTCATCTGGGCTCCCACCAGGCCCAACTATTCACACCTCAAACCACATTCTTTTGCATTAGGAGAATTTCAGATAAATACTATATTTTATTCATCAGCAGGAAAGGAGGGGAAAAAAAAAAGCTTATTCTAGACGATCCCATTATCAACTCATGGTAGCGAAGAAAAATAAAAATTATATTCAAGTTGCTTCTTATATTGCAATCATTTCATGATGAGTAGGTAAAAAAACCTGAAGTTGAGTTCAAAACTCAAATTATACTCAAGTTGCTTCTTGTATTGCAATTCATTTCATGATGAGTAGGTAAAAAAAGCTGATGTTGAGTTCAAAACTCAAACGAAATTGGTGATTGTGATCTGTAGTCAATAGGAAGCCAAACCCGTATGGAGCTCAAGAAGCTCACTGTCAAAGTTTAAAATTACATTGAATTCCAATACTTTCTTCAGTTGATATTGTATTAGAAATTTCATGGATTATTTCATCTCTTAGGAATTGAATTCCAAACCTCTAAACACGAGCTTTGATATTTTAGAATTGGACACAGTTTCTATGAGTCCATGTAGAAATGAGTCACCTGTTAAAAATCTATTTGTGAGATGGATTTTTGGACCCCCAAATTACTGATATGCCATGCCTCACCATTGAAATCTTCATTTCCTCATCAGATAATGACTGTAACTAGAATACAAATACAGGCTATCCAAAAATTTGAAAGGAAAAAAAGAAGAAGGCATGCTTGTCCATTATTACCCAAAAATAGAGGAAGATTCATTTTCAGGACAGAAATCGATAAAATATTATCCAATTGATTTGGATTACATAGTACATTAGAACAAAATGGAGGCATACTTCATGAATTGCAAGCTCTCAGACCAGAAACCAAGAAGTGAAATCCAGGATTAATTACACGAAATTAATGATAATGAACACTGGTCGAATCCAGAGGTTTTCATCCTAAACAAGCGAAGAAATCTATGGATGAAAGAAGACGACATCGGTGGCTTCTAGTAGCACACAACCTATGGAGATGAAAGAAATAAATGGCAAGAATGAAATAGAAATATCACAATCACAGATGACCATACAGTCCATTATATTATGGTATGAATTTGGTACCAACATATTAAATTGAGTTTGAATGTTTGAGTATGACGTTCTTTCCACATTTATAAGCCCAAAATTATGAGCTTTTTCATTTTTGTTAAGCAATTGGACAAAGAAAAAAGAATCATAGTACTAAAACTTTAGCTTCTTTATATTAGGAAAAAAAAAATTCATTACCAGTGCCATCACATCTAAGCTCCTCACAAGCTGAGCACCCCTCTACAACTATATCTAAAGCAGAGAGCCCCCTATCAACTGCCTTCCAAGCTGCTCTAACTGCCTCTTTAAAGGGCATTGGCATGTGCTCACTACCAATGGGTAATCCCCCAAAACCCCACCTTTTTGCACCACAGTCTGATAAATAATTTGAACCCCATATGGCAATGAAATACATCAGAGAAGAAAAGAAGGGAAGTAATATGTAAAGTAAAAGAAAATGGCAAAGCAAAGGGAAAAAGACCAAGAAAGGTGGTCTCTCTCTCTTTTTTCCAATAAATCAGAGAGGACTGATGATTTCACTAGGATAGAGCCAAGAGGAAGATGGGCTCTTTCATTTCTTCTATTGCTACTCAGAGAGTGAAAATATCAGAAAAAAGAGTAAGAATGGTGCAAATAACTGTTCAAATAGTGTACTTTCAGCATGAATATGAAAAACCCAAATGGAAAAATTGCGAAACAGTTAGTTAGGTTAGCTAGTGTTGGAGAAATCTGCCAGTTGCTACTCTAAATTCTCCAATATGTTATGAAAGACTATAACTTTGGACAAAAAACTGTGTGTGTGTTAGTGTGTGGGTGTGAGAGAGAGAGAATCCTCACCAATAAAATCAGGAAAAAAAAGTCATTGAGAGGTTTCTTTGAGCCATGGGGAAGCTTACTTCCAAAACCTCTCCTCCTGCAAAGTAACGTCGTTTTATTAAAGAGAAGATAAAATGACTGAAACTACCATAATCTTTCAGTAAATCCCTTTGCCATCTAAAGGAATTTCTTTTGATTTCATGAAAAGATAAGGACATTCCATTGCCCTACTTCTCCAATAAGCATAACCCCATAACATAGCACCAATGGAGTCTCTCTCCTTTCTGAGTTTTTCTCTCTCTAGGCTTTCCTTTTGTCTGTAAGTTCGGTCTCTCTCTCTCTAACCCCAAGTACAACTCTTTCCCCATGACACTATTTTTATCTCGGTTGTAATCTCTCTCTCTTACCAAAGTTTTCCTTCTCTCACTACAACTCTTTGCCCCATCTAACCCACCCTCGGATCGAACCAGTAAAGTCTCAGGCAAAATCCTCAAATCAACCCCAATAAATCTTCAAAACAATCAAATCAATCCCCAAAATCTCAAAAATAGAGAGAACTCCTAGCACTAATCTAAACTTGCCCAAAAAAGGAAAGAGAGAGAAAGATTGTTAGAACTGAAAGGTCGGATTTTGGGTTGGTTAGATTATTATAGAGTGCTTTAATGGGGGAATATGCGAATGGGTTTTGGTATTGGGTGGCTGCTGGTTCAGTGCAGACGGCCATGGGAGTTGTTGCTTACAGAAGGGGGTGTGGGGATGGCCTGATGCCTTTTAAAGCTTTTGGGATTGCTTCATTATTTGTGGGTGCAGGGGCCAGCGCCATTGGTGGTCTCCTGCATGCTTCTGGGATTCATGAGGTAACCCATTTCTTTCTCTCTCTCTCTGCGCCAAAAGCTCTTCTCTGCAATCCCACCTATCTTACCTGAGAATTTGCTTGCGATGTTGTGCTATGAAAATATGCAATTTATCTATCTCTCTCTTATTCTCAATTATTATTTTTATTCTACTGTATTTTTCATATTTGCAAATGAAAAATAGTTGAATATCTGACCTTGTTCTTCCTTCTCCAATATCTTTTTTTTTTCATTATTTTTTTCATATTTGCAAATGGAGAATAGGTGGAAGATGTGAAGGAAGTGGGTAAAAGCCTAAGGAGAAGATTGGGATTTCCTCCAAGGAACTTTTAGCTTCCATTAATTTATGTAAACTATTGCTTCATTTGAGTCATTTTTCAAGGATAAAAAAATAGTTGGAAAAGTTGAAGGTGCAGTCATTTCAAGTGATTATTTGGTCACTCAATTTTCAAATCCTGCTTCACTGAGTCATGTCTGATTGAAAAAAACTAGAAGGTTGGAAAAGATGAAGGAAATTTTGGGAATTTTCAAGTGATCCCCACTCATTAGATTTACTCAATTCTCAATTCTTGCTGGCGTCATGTTTGTTGTTTGTGAAAATTTTGGAAGAGTAGTAGAACATTGTGGGCATTTTAAGTGATCCCCATTTCTTAGATTACTCAATCCTCGGTTCTTGTGAGAGAGAAGGCCATTATATGGTTATTAAGCCATATATTGTATATGGGTGCGGTTTGTATACAGCTGAAGCTCTAAACAATCAAAGCAAGGCGCACCTTCAAATAGTTTCGAGAAATAAGGTAATATTGGAAATTTTTGCGATAGCTTTAAAATATATTTTTATTTTTAATTATAAAATTTAAATATTTAAAAATAGTGTAGATCGAACAGATATATGAATACTTAAAAATATTGAAAATTGACAGCCAAAAAATACATTACAAGATGCATTATTTCCAAAACTTGAAATCTTCTTTTCTTTCTCTTGTCCGTGCATCTTGATGTCGAGATGATACTTTTGAGGATATTTGGGCATTAAAACAACCTCTTCTAATTAAATTTTTGGGGTGTGCTCTAATGTGATTGTTTAGAGCCTCGGCTCTATGTAAACTTCTTGCTTTATATATATAGTTCGTAGAAGTTGAAGAAAAATACAGGGCATTTAAGTCAGTCTCATTTGTTAGATTATTCAAAGTCCGGTGAGTGGGAGTGAAGGGCACTGTTTCAACCAAAAAAAAAAATGGTAAGGTGTGAACTTTATAAAGTAGAAGATGCATCTCAAAAACTTATTAGAAAAAGGTTATTTCAATACGGAAAACCTTCAAATTGATCATCTTGATCTCGAGAGATATGGATATTATATAATAAAATATATAGTATATTTTAACACTGTTTATTTTAAATATTTTTAGATGTTTATAGATTTGCTTTCTCTGCATTACTTTTAAAATTTTAACTTTTATAGATAGTGTTGAAAATAGATTTTGAAGTTATTATAAGGGTTTTCGATTAAAACTATACATCTTCCGACAAGTTTTAAAGGTGCATCTTGCTTGAATTATTTAAGATGGACACCTTATATAAACTACACCTATGGTTACAGGCAATATCTACATTGTTCGTCCCATGGCCCGTTGTACCCTCTCCTCTCCTTTTAATTTAAATTATTACATATTGGTTTTCTTCATAAAAGATAATTAAATAATTAAGGGAGTGGTTTGTATTAGGCTGAGGCCCTAAACAATCAAAGTAAGACGCACTTTCAAATAGTGTCAAAATATATTGTTTCAGAAATATTTATGATGATCTGAAAATTTATTTTCATCTCTAATTATAAAATTTAAAGATTTAAAAGTAGTGTAGATTAATTAGATCTATGAGCAATTGAAAATTGACAAAATGGATGATACATTGCAAGATGCATTATTTTCAAGTTTTTCTCTTGTCTATACACCCTAAGGTCGAGATGATCAAATCGAGGGTTTCTCAGCATTGAAAAGATTAATGTGAAAATTTTATGTGGTCTTGCAGGAAAATAATGCATATTTGGTCCCTCGAGTAATACCCTACTTGCATAATTACTTGCAAGTATTTGTAAGACATCAGGACCTAGAGACCTACTCAACCTAGCAACTAACCTAAAATAATAAGAATCGTAACCAAAACAACTAAAGATTGTATATAATTTTAGTACAAATAAAGTCTTCCCAAGCTAAATGGGATGATTATGGTGTGAGATTTCTCCATGTAAAATCTAAGGAAAATATTCTTGGATTTTCACTGTAGTTAATGGTACACTCCTAGATGAGGGGTGGCAATGGGCCAAGTGGCCCCGCCCAGCGCAAAAAAATTAAGTCCTGGTTCACAAAATGTGACCTGAGGGCTGAAGCAAGGCCGAGCCTAGGGCAGGACCGCGATGGGCCGGCCCTCTTTTTCTTTTTCTTGTTTTAAAAAAAAAAAATCTATCTAGCCCTGGCTTGTTGCCAACCCTATCAGATGCCCAATTTAAAAGGCGACACTTTTAACTCTTAAGGTGACTGATTGTTTTCAACCAAAGAGTCTTATTTTATGCTTTCTCAAAAAATATTTTTGTCTAGAGTAGCCCAAAATTCTTTTTTATTTTTTTGTTATATATTTTAGTCATCTAGTCTAATGCGGAAAAAAAGATCATAAAATTTCATATCAAGAAAAAATTTGTATATGGGTTTTTCACTTGAGGGAGCAATCGTATAATGTACTCCCACGAGTACATTGTAGCATCACCAAACAGGTGATGCCTAAATTTTGTAGGAAGAAGATGGGTAAATATAAAATTTGAGAGAAATGACTTCATTTTACTCAAAATCAAATTTTTTTCAACCGAAGTGATTTTACTCAAAATCAAAATTTATTCAAATGAAGTCTCATTTTACTCAAATCAAAATTTATACTCCCAAGGAATTCATGGGGTAACAGATCATAGAGAAAAATAAACTTTAGATTTAGGCATCTTGACTTTCAAATAAACTTTAGATTTCGGCAGCTTGACTTCCATTCCCAACATGGGTAGAGGATCTTTCCCTACTAAAGTACTTAAAAATAAGCATTAAATACCGAATTTACACAATTTATGGAGCTTCAAATTTCATAGAGCTAAGAATGGGTTGGATCTGAATTGGATCCACCTATATTCTGATCCGATCCAAATTTTAGATCTGAATCCAAATCTTAGACCCATACCTAGACCTAGATGGGGTCCGAAATTCAGGTTTCATATCCAAACGAGATTAATTCTTCGCCTTATCCACACCAAAATTTCCCTAAACCAAAATTATGTTTTTTTTTGAGAAAATTGCATATACCCCTCCCCCCCCTCAAAGGTTTCGCCTTATCCACACCAAAATTTCCCTAAACCAAAATTATGTTTTTTTTTGAGAAAATTGCATATACCCCTCCCCCCCCCTCAAAGGCAAAATGTCATAGTTTTTTTGAATAAAAATGTCCTTTCCCATACATAAGACATGTTTGGTCAAACATTGACGTGAACAAGATTGCCAGACTTACTCCATGTTATTGCCGGACTGGGACTGCACACTGTTGAACCCATTGCATGATATTGTCGGACTGGGGTTTCACAATAGTACTGGACCGGAAACGAATAGTATTGGACCGAGAGAAAAAGTTTCAGGTGAAGTACAAAAAGTGCCAAGACCGTGTGAAGACTGATCAAACCAATGGTTTAAAAACCGGATCGGTGACTCGGATCGGGCTTTCAAAAAACCCATCCGAATCGGCGAATCGGCGATTCGGATCGGGAATCGGGTGAATCAGTCAGAATAAAGCTTCAAAAAAATCCGAAAAAATTATTAAAATTCATTATAAATATTGTTTTTTAGGAATTCAATAAGAAATGAGGGTACTCCATTAAGAATTTTTCATGTTTTTGAATGAATATGCGAATATTGATATGTTCTTTCCCTGCATGAACCGCCATTC